ACACACACACACACACACACACACACACACACACACACACACACACAGAGAGTGGATGTGGGGAGTCAATAAAAAAAAAAAGCAAGTGAGTTTGTGTGCGTGAGGAGATTCAATCTGTCAAGATATCAGAGTGTTTGTGTGTGTGTGTGTATCATCACAGATCTGCAGGGAGGAGGAGGAGGAGGAGGAGGTGGTGCTGGCTCGACAGGATGAATAAACCATGTCGCTCGTTATCTCGGGGGCTGCCACGGCAACGCAATTTACATATGCCACCCATTCTCCTCATCACCCTTTCTCCCACCACTCTCCTCCCCTGTTTTTTTGTCGCTTTTTTTTTTTTTTTTAACAGGACAGTCAGTCAGGATTAAACATTTAGCCCGTCGCTGTATTCCACACACACACACACACACACACACGCACGCTCACACACTGAGTCACGAGCTTTCGTCGTGTCACCTTGCGCTTTAGTGCGGAGTGACAGCGCGTCAGCAAGGTTATGCCTGGGTGGCGCCGTGTGTATCTGGGCTGACACACCTCGACATATGGAGATGTGTTTCTGACTCGGCGTGTGTGATAGTGCACCAGTGTGACGGGGCTCGATAACAAACGGACCCGAGCTAGCTAAAAAAAACAAAAAACTGACAGTTACCGAAGCCACGAGCGTGCCGGTGCTTATGTATTTGTGTGTGTGTGTGTGTGTGTGTGTGTGTGTGTGTGTGTGTGTAGGTGGAGTTCAGATGTGAGATTTGGCAACGCGGTAAGAAGGGGAAATGAAATGCCTGACGGGATACTTGGGAGACATTTGGGACTGGATGGAGGAATCGGGGGGTTTAGAGTCACATCTTTCATAAACTAGAACACGAGACAACGAAACCTTTCTGTGTATAAAAACACTTTTTGTAGTTGGGGAAACAGCAGCCGTGACCAAAATGGTGGCAGGGAAAAAAAAGTATGAATCCATCTTTTAAACCCTCTCAGAACACTAATGCTCTAAACCTGCCTCCAGCTCAGCATGTGTACCGGACTGTTGAAAGGCTATGAAAGTCCCTCTTCCCTTCCCGCACCTTTCTGACATTGAAATTGCTTTTTTTTACAATTTTGTAACCATTCGGAATTAACAACCCAATAAACTCGACCACTTTACGCAGTGACTGGCCGGGTCTGCGGAGGTCAGAAAGCATTGCCTTGTCTTCGAGTGTGACCGCTATAAACACTTTACGCCTTTGAGAATTAGTCGGACGAGGCATTGTATGAACTTTTTCAACCATACTTAAGCCGTATTTTGGACTGATTTTAACACAGGAGTCAAAGCGATGAATTATGGTGACTTGAAACATGCTAAAGGGGCAGTGTGAGGCTCAAGAAACTTCATAAAAACGTACTGAAAACTGTACGTCACCACTGGAATCCACTGGAACGGATCACAGCCTCAGGACAAAGGTTTTATAGCCGACTGGAAGTGAGAGTTTAAAACTCATGAAAATGGATTTTCACTCACTGGTTTGAATCCCCCAAACTGGCTCACAAAATGTATATTCGACTCTGGTGCCACAGAGCAAGGTACTTAGTGCTGACATGCTTCCACGAACGCTGTAAACACTGTTCATGTCTACTACTAATACCACTGGCACCATTATAAACACAACTGCTGCTGCAACCACTAATGACGATTTTTGCATCTATCAACAATACCATGACAGAAACGGTGCTAATATACCGTCATATCCTGTTTCACCCACTTTGAGAAAAGAAGAAAATGTTTATAAAAAAGGCAGCTTTTGACAAATTATTCGTGAACATGTGCAGAAATGTCCTCCTTGCTCTCTGTAGAAGACATCCACCCTTGGTTTTTGCGTTCAGCCTTGTACCAAAGAGAAGCCTGAGAATAAAGCAAACGACTGCAGAGACTCTGCGGCCCTCTCGAGAGAAAGACTGATGATGGAGGAGAAGCAGAGTGGGTGGCAGAGAGGCCAAAAGGGCGCAGGGCTGTGTGCAGCGCACGCGCATCTCGAAAATCTCACCTCCAGTGTGGTGAGCACTATCTTTTCCACGGAGGAGAAGTAGGCCTCCCAGAGGAACTGAGTCTGCTGTCTGAGGGACAGGATCTTGTCCTGGTGGATGGAGCGCACCGTGGTCGGGATCTGCAAAATGACAAAACAGCAGCCAGTCATCATTCAGTGCTGATCAGGGGCATAAACTGTTGTGATTAGAATTGCTCCCATGTAACGCTCATCAACAGACAAAGCACAGTGAGGTGTAGAAAGCAGATATTGCAGGTTTCTGGAGTTGTAGCCGCAACTATATCTAAGTAAGTTAGGTCAAGTCCAAGTCTCAGGTGTTCTCAATGAATTCTTGAGTCCATGAGGGCAAATCCAAGTCGAGTTATAACAAATAAACTGCAAGTCAGTTCTTTGAACGCGGACCATTTTGCTTTCAACAGTTTACCTTCACCAACAGTTTTTCCTCCAGGGTTGTACAAGGTAGAAAGAGGAAAAACGGACCCGTCGTTCTTCAAGATTTGAACCACATCTTGTTTCTCAGTTGTCGCCTCGCCCCGTGTATGACCGCCTAAATTATACACTTGAGTTACGTGGCAACAGCTAAACTATCTCCATGACAACTGAGCAACTCTATCCGCTGAGGAAGGGCACAAGATGTGGTTGAAGATGTCGAGGTACGTGCAAACTGCTGTTTACAAAGTCAACGAAGCAAAACTTGAGATGTTTTGCTTTCAAGTCTCAAGTCACGTAAGTCCAGTCGCACAAAGTTCAATTCAGGTCGAGTGTTGAGTCCCATATTTTGTGGCTAAATGAATAATTTGACATTTTTTGGAAATACTTGCTGTGAGTTAGATGAGAGGATGAATACCTCTCTCGTGTCCGTACGGCCGATTTGAAGCCACCGGCAGCGGTGAGCTCAACTTTTGAGATTTGAGACACGGGCCATTTCGATCGCCACTATAACAGCAATTTTTCATTTTTACACTTTGGCTTTTGTGTGTATAAAACTAACAAGATATAACGTATTCATTAGGGAGCTTTAAAGGTGCTAGAAGCCGGATTTAGTTTACTTTGGAGGGAGCCAGGCTGTCTCCCCCCCCCGTGTTTTCAGTCTTTGTACTAAGCTAAGCTAACTGGCTGGAGCCTTACATTTAACAAACACGAGGAATTTACAAAAAATAGCAGCAACAGCAGCTATCGGTCATCAAACAGTATTAGGAAGAAAAAGCTATTAAAAAGCTGCAGCAGCCTTTGGTGAATGCTTTTGTACTTTTATCTGAAGAGCTGTGCAGTTTAATCCGTATTGTGAGTTTATTTGTCAGAGTAAAGAGGGGATAAATGGCAAATAAACACATTTCATCCACACTTTAGTTAATACTGCCATATCCTGCAAACTGGGAAAAATTGTTATTGTTGAAGTAAATATATATGTGTGGTATTCTCCAAACATTTTCCCTGTTTTAAAAAGAGCAAATGCTTTGTATGTACAGCAGATGTAGCCCACATTTAGTGAAAAACAAACATGAATTTATGTCCTGTATGTTGTCTCAGCCCATCGCTGTAAAATACATAAATCCACAGACATACCCAGGATGGCTCAGGCACTGCTGCTGCTGCACGGAGTTATAAAACTCAATGTCAAACAATATTATTACGCACTTCATTCAAATTAAGATTTAATGGGCATATAATTGCTTTCCCCCCCATGAAGTTCAAGCAATTCCAGCCAAATCCATTTGCTCATTCTATTTATTTGCCCTCTCACATGTGAGTCTTTGAGTGGCATTTTCAAGCACTTGGAGGACTTGGTATGCTGCTGGCATTCAAGAGCCCCACTCCAACACAAAACAAAACAGGGTTTGGGGAAATGTAAGAGGAGAGTGTGCACTCAGGATAACTACAGTCAGGGGAAAAAAAAAAAAGGGGGGGGGGGGGGGGGGGGGGGGGGTTTGTTCCTCTGTCGGGTTTAGTACTGTATTCAGGTGATACGCAGAGCGGGCACTTTTTTTTGTGTGGGTGTTGTCTTCGGGCCGTCACCTGCAGCAGGAGCCTCTCGTCGCCGATCACTGCGGCTGTGTTCCAGTCGATGATCTCGGCGAAAGGCAGCTCCCAACCATTACTCAGCATCACCGGCACACACGCAGCCTGAGACGCACACACACACACACAGAGAGAGAGGGAAGCTTGGACAAAATCCTTTACAAACACAATCAGAGCTACGGCTAAATCATGCCTGCTTTGCTACATATTGATCCGGATAATGAAAGCTGCACTGTATTGTAATTGATCCGTGTGTGTTTGTCTGTGACCCTTTGTGTTAATGCCTAAACCCCCCGTTTGGGGAAAAAAAATTTGTATTTTCTTAGATTTGCAAGCTTCTTTGGTGTGATGTGGATATATTATACATAAAATCACTACTGAGGCTCGGAGCAGCCATTAGGGAAGTCAGTGACACACGCGGCAGGAGGCCCTTTCTTGTCTTTGTAGAAGCCGCAGACTAGATGCTGTTTCACAGTAGACATCTTATCAAAGTGCTGAACTTTAACAACCAAAAGGGAAAAGTTCATCACTTCCAACCCTATCACATGACACAGTCATCTGACTCATCGTTTCTATATAAAGAAAACAATGAATGCAGCTTTAATTTAGAAAAACAATGCAGCGATACGCGCACAACGATGTGAAAAACAGCAGCCGTTTGTTGGAGAACAGATGACACAGAGCATCACGCTCTGGATTTATATAAATCAGGAAACATTTATTCACCCACAAGAACTCAAACATGCAGACAAATAATTTCTTAAGAAGGCGCTTAATAGTTCCGTTTGTGATTCTCTTTGAGTTTATTTGATTTCTAAAGAAAATGTTGAAATCACTTATGAGCCTGAAAATTAAATAAAAACACGCTTTTTCGCAGCTGTTGACGCGTCAATTTGAAAAAAGGTAACTTCAGGCGCTGTAAAGTTAATCACTCAAAGGAGGCGAGCAGGAGGAGTGATAAAAGAGAGGAGAAAGGGCAATTAAAAAAGGCAAAATAAAGTGGATATATCGATGTAATAAAAATAAATAAGAAAAGATGAAAAGATGGGAGGCAGTGAGGCTGAATGTGGCCTTTGGCAAAGGAGTGGCAGAGAGATGGAGGGATGAGAGGAGAGTTAGAGGGAACAGCTGGCGAGTGTGTGTGTGTGTGTGTGTGTGTG